TTTACAGTAATATTGTAAAAAAATTAAAAATTAAAAATAAAAAAAAATAAAAAGTGGGGCTTTTGATATTGCGATGAACCCTTTCATCAGTAAAACCGCCAACTTCCATTGCTAAAGTCATCTTGCACCTAATTCTAGAGCACATCTTTAATGGAAAAAAAAGCAGCAATAGAGAACTCTTGTACTACAGAACACAGGTGTTATAAAATTCCGGTTTACAACCATGCCCAGTTAGTTGATTTGAGATTCTAATTGTATCAGCAGTTATGCTGCCTTAGGTCATGTAACAGAAAGAATAGCAAGAGTAAGCTGTGCATAACCCAACTTTTGTCTATGTATTAGCAAAGGATTTTTGGACAAACTTTGTTTAGGTATAGGTGTCCGGGAACGTATGAATCTGATTCCTTGGTAAAACATTATGTTTCTACTGAAAAAAATACAAGTATATTGATTTCCAATTAACTTGAAGATGAAGGTTCAAAACATTTGGAATGTAATCTCTTTCCCCTGTTCTTTTTACTGCTTTCAAAGTTCTCCATTTTGCTCTATGCTCAAGCTCCAATTTTGATGTGCCAATCAGGATGTAGTGGAGCTAAGGCAAGGATCTTGGCTTGAACCATTAAAGGATATGGAAGGTAAACTCGCAGGTTTTGTAAGTAATCCACCATACATACCAAGTGACGATATCTCAGGGCTTCAAGCTGAAGTTGGACGACATGAACCCAAAGTTGCATTGGATGGTGGTATCAATGGCATGGATGATCTTTTACATATTTGCGAAGGGGCTGCTTCTATGTTGAAACCTGGTGGATTTTTTGCTTTTGAGGTATCTATTTTTCATTCTCTAAAAGTAAAGTGTTAGCATTTGTCCTTTAAAAGTTGAAAAGCACTACAATGAATGAACTGTAGCTAGTTATAATTTTATTATGGTGATACTTGTATAGAGATGAGCGGAAGTTGCAGTCAGTATAGTCAGCTAATAACTAAATCTGCCATATATTCTGTGTAATTTAGGCTTCAGGTCCTGCCCATTATGCCCATTGCTTGTTTTGCTAGAACTAGATGGTGTTTCTGAATGGTGACTAAAAGGTGTTTCATGTGCAAGATATAGTGAGATGCATTATCGCTTTCCACTAGTTAGTAATTGGTAACTTCTAATCTTCCTCATCAATCCTATATTGTTGCAGACAAATGGGGAGAAGCAGTGCAAACATCTTGTAGAGTACATGGAAAATGATGCTGGAGGCAGCTTTTGTAATTTGAAAATAGTTCCTGATTTTGCTGGTATTCGTAGATTTGTTACAGGATTCCACAAGTGAGCAACATGAATTATGATCTACTACATGGAATCTGAGTCATCCCTTCTTTTCTTTTTCTTCTCTCTTATCTTCTGTCTTACATGTAAACAAGAAATATTCAAATTTGGTGCCCTTCAGCCTCCCATTAGAGCAACTCCACTCATTTGCCCTTAAGAGCCTCTCCAGCGGTAAGTCCAGCCCGAGGCTGGGAAGGAGAGGGGGGGAAGGTGTTCCAGCGGACAGCCCAGGCCCGGGGGAGGTGTGGGACCCCCCAACCCGGGCTGGCCCGAAGGCAACTTCTGCCTGAGGTCCAAAATGAAGGGGGTGACTGTAGCGCTACAGTATCTCTACAGTACCTCGCTGATTTATTTTTTTTCCTGTTGCCACGTGGCGTCGTCTGGGCTCTCTGATTTGATTTTTTCCTCCAATCCAACGGCAGCCAATTTTTTTGCAATAAAATACTGGAAAAAAATCGGAAAATTTTTTTAAAAATACCCAAAAATTAATGAATTTTTTTCTATAAATACCAGTCTTTTTTTTTTTAATTTATCTGAAATTTGAAATTGAAAATTTTATCCGATTATGAGATATGAATAGTATTGACACGTAGGAACCCGAAAATCTTATCCGAAAATATTATCCAAATTAATTATTGTGGTAAAAAAAGTTGTGAAAAAAATAAAAAAATGAATAGTAATTGCCCTTTGCCATGGCAACGGGTGGAAATGAAAAATACTATTTGCAAGGGCAATTACTATTCACGTGAATAGTTGCTGCCCTAGCTCCCCCCTTGTCATGACTAAGGGCAAATGGGTGGAGTTGCTCTTAGAGCAATTCCACCAGTTAGCCCCTTGCCATGGCAAGGGGAGCCCTATGGCAGTTACTATTCATGTGAATAGTGGCTGCCCTAGCTCCCCTCAGGAAATGTGTGTTTCCAGCAGTTAGCCCCTTGCCATGGCAATTACTATTCATTTTTTTGTTTTTTTCACAACTTTGTTTATTTAAACAATTAATTTGGATAATATTTTTGGATAAGATTTTTGGGTTCCTACGTGTCAATACTATTCATATCGGATAAGATTTTCGGTTTCAAATTTCAAATAAATTTTAGATAAATTTCAAATTTCAGATACATTTCAAAATTCAAATTTGAGATAAATTCAAAATTTGAATTTCAGATACATTTCGAAATTCAAATTCCAGATACATTTCCAATTCCAAATTTCATTTGAATTTCAAATTTCAGATAAGATTTTCATCCTCTAAAATTGCGTCACGTGTCATCTCTATCTGTCTAAATTTTTCTATAAAACCAGAGGCTCAGCTACGCCCGCCCACACCATATCTTCTCGAGCAAGAATGCGCAGAAGAGCTGCAAGCAAAAGGGCGCAGAGAGAACTAGATGAGCAACTTGGTGTGGCCGTTGCTTTGATGGAGGAAGAAAACCAAAGCCGTCGTGGTTCACGAGAAGCTGAGTCTCGTGGATTTCCTGGAATGATTGGTAGCATTGACTGCATGCACTGGCAATGGAAAAATTGTCCATCTGCTTGGCAAGGGGATGATGACTTGGTAGAATTACTCCCTCTCTTCGCCTTCGTTGCCTTCCTCCCAATAGGCCTCGGCTCTTTTTCAATAGGTGAGTCTTGACTCATCGGGGAATCCATAGGCGAAGCGGTTGCCGGTGTCTCATGAAGTGGCGTCTCGTTCAAGACTACCGTTGGACCCGTTGGAATAATTTGGAATTTCTTACAATTCTTCACCACCTCCCAACAATGGGTATGGTTGAAACTTTTTTTTCCTTGCCCAGTAGCACCAAAAAACATTTGTGCTTGTATAGTCTATAAAAAAAAATGAAAATGCAAGAAACTTTAAAAATTATTGGCAATGCAACAAGTATAAAAAAATAATAATGGAAATACAAGAAACTTTAACAATTTATTAGAAATGAAAAACAAAATTAAAATATTGCAACAAACATTCATATTAATATTGGAAATACAAGAAATATTAACAAAATATATAAATTGCAAGAAATATTTAAATAAACTTAAATAAGACATAGAAATTAATAAAACAAAAATTACAAATAATTTACCTCACTAGTAAGGTTTTCCCCGCTTCTATGGTTGTCCATCGCCTTTGCCAGGGCATCCCTCCATTTCCCCAACTCTTTGTTAAGAATTTTCCACCTACTAGATAGTGCCTGATCTGTACGGGTCGAACCAATTACCCGTTCACAAAAATCCTGATGAATTTTTTTCCACATATGACAGAATTTCATCTCATTGCCCG